TTTGGTATTATCACGGTCCAGGACATTTCAGTTAGGACAAAGTGAACAATGGAACAAAAGATGTCGCTAAAGGCGTGTCACCTGGAAAGGCCACTGTCAAAGAAGAAACTCTACTCGGTTTTGAGAAGGGAAACAGTGAAGCCCTTCATGAAGTTACTACCACTGATGTGACTATTACTGATAATAGGACAATTCTTGATGGAGCAGATGAACCTCACGTGAAGCAGAAGCCAGTACAGAAGAAGATACGTCCCGTAAAATTAAGAGACTTTGTTGAATTTTAATATTGTGTTTGTAAATCCTGCACATTTAATTAAGTTATTGTTAATTATATATTGGTTTAACTTAAGTGGCTATTGTTCGGGACAAACAATACTAAGGAAGGGGCAGTGTTACGACAGCGGAATTCACGTGACGCTGGTAACACGTAATGAGTATCTAGAACATCTCGAGTGTTTGCCAGACGCCCTCTATTTCGTATATATAAGATCGGCGAGAAGTGACGGCATAAATAATTGAATAGCAGACAGGGAGATAGAGACAGATAATCGAGTCAAGCCGTAAGAAAAGTGTGTAGATCACTGTGAATTATAGCGTGTGTTTAAGTTAAAGTGCCTGTGGAAATTAAGTGTATTGCAAAGTTGTATTGAGAAACAATAAACTAGTTTTATTTAAGAAATAACTTGTATCGTTGAAGTTCTTCCGAAAGAATTTTTCCGGGTAATTAACAAACGACCAGAGACGTAACAATGTTATATTTCGAATACCCTAGTCGTTTTAAACACAATAAAGTTAATGAATAGATCTACTAGTTAAATATCTAACGTATGGTAAAGAATAGACTTGTTATATATCAATTACTCGATACTATAGCAACAACACAAATAAACATGAGCTTAATTTGATATTAATAATTAAAATTAGCAGGATGTGTAAGGTTATGATAGATAGATTGCAGGGATTTTATTTCATTATTTTATAATCAACCTTGTCTCTAACAGTAGTAATAATTTGCCATTTACAACAGACGATATTATTTCTTAGAAGACTCAAGATATTTAAAAGGCTGACAACAGCCCATGACGACAGTCAAGACACAAATGAATGAATAATACAATAATACTTTATTAAAAATGATCCCATTTAGATACAGTACGTTCAGGTCTTCTAACACTGGTATCGGCCCGGCATGGCCAGGT